GGGGGGGGGGGGGCTATTGAACGAAAAAAAAAATTGGTCTTCGCTTGCGCTTTTTGAAGAATCAGAAAAATAACTCGTACCCAAAAAAATAAACGTCTGTGGACAGACCAGAAACCTTTCCCCGTTCGATATCTATCAAGGATGCAGGTGATACAGATACCCAGGCTGAGGTGTAGGTACATCAAAATTGCAAGTTGGAGGGGTGTTGCATCAGTTTGATTGAAGACAAAACTCAGTCAATCACTGTTTATTCCGACAAATAAACATTTTTTGTCTATATATGGTGCTTGTGGTGAAAGCGGCTTATCTTGTTGCTGAAGACGAAAACGGTTATCGGTGGAGGATAGAGTAAATGAAAACACCGCTTCCCTTTCTTTGTTACCGCTTCGCAGTCTGTTCGCCTATTGTTCTCCTTTTGATTGAACATCAACCGATTTACCTTGTAATTGTTCCTGTTAAGATGTTGAAGGGTAAAGGGTTACTCCGCTATGTGGACATTATTCCTAAGTTAATCTTTTTCAAGCTGGTTTTTGATCACTCCCGTATTCTGAAATCCAGGCCTAGAGGGTGTAGAAACTGCCGATCCAGTGATGTGCATTTTTGTCACGTAGATAGCCCACGCGTTTTTTCAGGAATACATCCATGTAAAGTTCCCGGTAGCTGGTTACCATATCCTAATTTGTGTCCAATATGTCTGTTGATAATATTCCCACTGACAGATGATTGTCCTTAGCCAATTTCTTATCTTCCACAAGGCCGGTTAAAATCGTTTCACAGCAGCTTTGCTTTTGATAAGCTGTGAAGCCATTACGGAGGCGATCATCCTATTTTGATGTTACTTGGTTACCCAATAATATCAAACACTTTATTCACCCATAACAGTACAGTTACTGGCCTGAAATGCTCCTTGGCATTGCTCCTCATCCTTTTTAACTCGTGATAATATTTCCACTGTAGTGGACAATCACATTATGCAAATAACATGCAAATGATCCATTTAGCATTTATTCTTTTCCTGTAAGAAATCCTCTGCATTCTTTAAACATGTCTTATCCTGGCTTACAGACTACGTATTTATATTGAAACATTGAAGAAGCCGGACATAATTTTTAGGAAGCTGGCATAAAAGACAATTTTACTGTCATAAACCATATCTTATTATTTGGCAAATATTACACTTACTCTAAAAAGTGTCAAAATTTCCTACCTACGGTTTAGGGTTTTATTGCTCGGATTAAAATGATTTACAGAATTTAATTCCAATTTGCCAGATAAAAAAGTGGTGGTGGAATAATGACAACAACAAAAAATACAAATAAGTAAATAAACAATATATCTTTATATGTTTTTTTAGCAGCTTCTCATATGTTCTGACTAATCGGCCGTATTGTTAAATCCCTAAATGGTACTTTCAATCTGATGTAGTGAGGTGAAAGAATAATATTGTAATTAGTTTCTTGTAATACTTAGTTTATTCTTAGCATTGTACTGTAAGTAGCATGGTGCAGGTAATGTACAGTGACTCCGAGTAATGCATGTATACAGTAATTAGATTATTGTATGTAATGTTAGTAGTTTATTGTATGTGTGTATTATAACTTTGCAAGTAATGCATTGTAGTATTTCATTGTATGTAATATATTGTAAATTAGTTGTAGTAAGTTAGTAATTGTATCATATTGTCAGCGAAATGTCTTAGAAAATAAAAGTAATTACAAAAAAGGTTTCTGGTTTGTATTTCTATTTTTCCATGACCTTCTCTTTGGCACTCCGGCAGAGTCACAAACTTTCTAGACGAAATTATAAGCCATGAAGGTTTTCTGAAGGACCTTGCGGATCAATTTGATACTGAGCGATCAAAACCAGAAGAAGGATGCATGGTTGCTCCGCAGCCAGGTAAGATGTATAAAGGAAAATGAAGGTGTTTGTGCGTTCACAAAGGTGTATGAAGGTGTTAATTATGGTAAATGTATATACACGAAGGGAATATTTTAAAACACGCTGACACTAAAGTAAACTCCAGCAGGTACTGGGAGTTCCTACAACGCTGGGACTCTGAAAATAATCTCATTTAAGTCAATCAGTTAATTGATCAGTAGTCATCACAAAGCGAATCGATTTTCCAAAATTTTATAAGATTTCGTAAATGTTATTTTTCTATCTCATTTCTGAGGACCTCAATGGGGTGGTGGCTTTTACGGCTAACGGTTAATATTTTAGCTTTTTTACGGTTAACAGAAATCCTACAAATCAACTACCATTGTTATAAAAATTAAAAAAGATTCCATTGTTTAAAAAAGTTAAAAAGTTATTTTGATAACTATAAAACACATTTAAGGTCTTTTGACCATTCCGGGATGGAAAAGGTATTATCATAAGAATTATAGACAGTACACAAAAAAAGTACACAAAAAAAGTCTTGACAAGAGATTTGAGACCTCGCTTTCAAGGCTAAATTATTTTTGCGGTTAATATTTTTTACGGCTAACGATTAAAATTTTCCAATTTTTACGCCTCACGTCTAAATGTTTTGCTTGTTTAACGTTGAAGACCCTCATTTTATATTTCTTCTACTTTTTTTGCACGTACATGAAGTGCGCCATTTTGTGTCAAACTCTGTTGTTTGAGTTGTGCTAATGTATCGCCGCTAAGTAATAACAAACACCTGTCTTATCCGTCAACAGTATCTTTAATCATCTTTTTTGTGTTCAGTCAATTCCATTTTTTGGAGAAATTGAGATAATTCTCTGTGTAGGACGCTGTCGTTACACTTTTACACATTTCCAGGAGCCAAACAGTTATCTTGCGGACAGGCTGGCAATGAATGACATCGTACTTTTATTTTTGTTTATGCTACTGTTTGGGAACATTCGATCTGAGAGCATGAGTTCCTTCTTTTCCGTTTATGAAAATCGAGCCCTGAACACAAGAATTACCTTTAAGAGGAGCACAAATGTGAAAGATGTCATGTCGTGTGCACGGGCGTGTGGCGTTGAATCGAACTGTAACACGGCAAACTATAAGTCTAGAGAGAACAAATGTGAGCTTTTTAAAGAGCAAATATCGCCTGAAGCGGCCATGACGACCGCAAGAGGATACCATTTGATTACAAAGGTAGGGATTTTTCACGTTTCTTTAAATTGAAATCTATGACTGAGCTTGCTGATTATAAACTATATCTCAGAACTCTTAAGTTACACACTAAACAAAAAAAGAGTTATAAAGCTTCACGGAGATATGTACCTGTGTGTACAATGTACGAATACGCTGAAGCGAATTTAAAACTACAAAGGCTGGATATCCGCTTGAAATTTTGAACACGCTAAGAAACTAAATATAATGTCATGCATTCAGTTTTTTAGTAATTATTACTTATCAGAGTTCGTTCTGAAAGGGGCTTGGTATGATTTATTAAGTTTCAATAAATAAGGTTGAAACACAGTTGAATTGCTGTTTCAAAAACATCCCTAAGTTTCTGAAAGGGCAAGAGGGTTATCTATTCTTGTTGATAATTCTGTCGGCTGATAGATCTTCAGTGTAGGTCTTTCAAGAGCTTATTAGGTTACCGAACATTTACTTAAGCTGTCAGGAGGCGATTTATATCTATCTACCGGAGTCATTTTAGTACCACACCGAGCTGATATCAATAGAACATCTTTCTGACAAACTGCTTTACTCTAGACAATTACCAATATACTGGCTTTATTTCCGTGTTCCATATTAGGAAAATGAACGAAAAAGTGTTTAATATTTTTGAACAAACTCATCTTTAGCTCATTTACTTTATTATTTCCAAGGTGTATTTCTTATTTCAGCATCTTAGTAATTGTGCTTAAATACCAGGTGTTCTCCTACAAATGATGATTGTTATTTACAATATCAGTCTTCCAGCACATGCAGGTCATCGTTTTCGGTTTGTATTTTTTATTCAAACCATGACATTTCTAATCACCTGTGGTGGGTTGTGTGGTACTTTTTTTGGTTTTCATTTGAAAGATGACTTAACTGTAAATTTTTCAGTCGTCTGTGCCTTTACGTAAGATAATTGTAACCTCTGAAGTGCAGTCCTCATAAAAAAATTATCCGTTAAGTGATCCGATTGTGTTTATCAAATCAAATAGCAACTCTATCGGCAACCATACTGATACCTCTGGTTTAAGGTTGACTGAGACGTTATTCAAATCTGCGATAAATGGTTTTAATAATGGACTGTTTCCCGGGATATGATCAAATGTGTAGACGGTGATTTAAGCTTTTTTTTCTGCACGCATGGCAGCCAATAAATTGACAGGAAGTCAGTTCATATTTGATCACCTGCAAATGAATTGTCGCGAATTGTTAACTTTGTCCATTTCCAAGCTTTAATTCTAACGCGGTTATTGGTTATGTTTGCTTTAAGCAGGAATCTTTGTTTGCAATATTTGTCTCATTAGCATAAGCGCTTCAGGTTCTGATGAAGGTAAAAACATGTAAGCACTGGATGTTCAAAGGGCGTAAATGGACTAACTTGCTCCAAGAAATTAGAGCCCAGTCTATCAAATACTTTTTAGGCGACGCGGGTTTGAAAACTTAGCATTTCTATGATAACTTATAGTTCGAGGTTATTTTTTTTTCCAATTTTTTTTCTTTTGAGTTAAATTTCTGCTTTTCTAAAAATTATGGATTCCATAAAGGTCTTAGTCCAAAATCTTTACACATCTTGTATCTTTATAACTGAATGTTCATCTAGCGCTTTACTTAATTAACATGAAAGCGACAAAACAAGCCAAGTTCGTTTTAGGTATTTCAATATGTGAAGAGTATTATCCATTCCTGAAAATCACACGCGTCGCTTTACAGACTGGAAGGTTTTCAGTCCAGCACCTGACTATTTTCGAATATTTGTTTTCCTTGTCGCTTCTGTTTTTTCCGAGAGAGAAACGATTAGTTCTTTTTCATCACTTCATCGAAAATATTTTCAGGTTGCCGGCGAAATGATTAGATTTCCACAAGAGGAAAAGGACCCAACACGTAAGTATCGTACAATTAAGACAAAACAAAATGGTACATAAACATGCATACAAAATGGTACATTAACATACATACAAAATGGTACATAAACTAAATGTTTGAAATGGTTGAAACGAGATATTCTGAGTGAAAGATCCATAAATGATAGTAACAATGATTGTAGTAATAATGCAATAATAGTAAAATCAACGATTAACGATTAATGATTAAGCTTTGTGAAGCAAAGTTCTGCGGCTTAGTATCAGTTCGTACGTTATTGTATTTGGTACGTTAGAATGATAATAGAGTTTTGTAATATATTACTTTTAAATGTCGATTGTCAAAACTCTCTTTTTGGGTTGAAAAAAGAGGGAGGTAGGTCAACCAGCAGCAATAGTTGTGTCAACCCAAAATTGTCTAGTTTGGGTACAAAAATGGAGCAATATTTGACATAGTTAACATTAAAGGAGCTCAGTAACGGTTTGCGCATATTGACGGAAAAGTTTAGCCTCGATTTTCCAAATTCGTCGTTTGTAATCCGTGTTAATCTTCTCCATCCTTGCTCCTGTATGGTTTACCATTATCTCTTTGGGATTTATCTATCTTATTAAACTGTTATTCTCAGGTTTCCTACCATTTAAAGGTAATTTTGTATGTGGCCAAAATAACTCAAAATACCGTGACTGAGCCCTTTTAAACTATAACGAGAGCCCCAGTAACAATTTTGATAGTTTGTTCTGTAACTGCTCCACAGGGCTGACTTGCAGTAATCAAATACAGAGCATTGAATCTATACATGTTGACATTCTGTCATAATTATGTTTGTATCATTTTAGCTCCAAACCGTTTGGTCAAATGGCTTCATTACACGCCTCAATGGTGTACAGGTGCAGGACGAGTCAAGATTGGCAAAGGGAAAACAGCAGATGAATGTAAAGAGATGTGTAAAGAGGGATGTCTTGGAGTCGAATGGTGGGAAAAGTATAATAGTTTCTGTTATAAGTGTACAGATCCATCAAAAAAGACAATGTATCTCAACACTAATGATCTGGCTTATCCACCTCATGTGTTTCTCAAGAGTAATAGCTAACTGAATCACTAGTCGGAAGCGAAGCTTCATCGAAATCGACTTTATCGCTGCACATTTTGCGTCTTTTAAGGTTTACGTATAATTTAGTATAGAGTAAAAACCCGCCTATAAGAACCTGGATCTTTAGAACCTATCAGACTGAGATTCTCCATTTACACCAGTGGCTGATCTGGGGGAGGGGCCCGGGGTAAAGAAAGAAAAAATCACAGAGGGAAGAAAAGCCTTTATAGACCTATATATATGAAGCAAACATCATTGATCTGTCAGTATTCAATAAAGAATCCAGAATTTCCGTATGGAGAAACTATGCGAACTATCGCATCGACCTGGTTCAGATGGCTAGCATTAGAGCGTTTTAGAACCCTGTCGAGGAATCCTGACTTTAGGTAAATATTTCAATTTCCATCTGCAATTGAAAATAGCATTTATAATAAAACAAACATTTAATTAAGTTCCGGGTAGTATGAAAAAATGAAATAAACACCAATTTGCAAATATGCATTTTATGTAACAGTTTTTTTGGTGGAGCAGACCCAGTTTTTATTGCAGATTTTTAAAATTCCTCGCCCAACATTTCGGAAAAGTTAAATGCCCCGATAGTTGTTATATAAATACACGCGGAGTATTTTTTACTTTCACACGGAAGCTAAGAGATGAAGGGAACCTGTATCCTCTCATTTTTCAAAGACAGTTTTCATAGGCAGTGACTGCCAATTGCCACTGATATGTCACATTACTCTCACAAAATATGCATAGTTAAAAGCTTAAGCAGTGGTTAATTCTTAAGGGTAAAACATTTATTAAAGTCCTTTAAAAATACTTACAAAGTGCAGAATATTTTCATTACAGAACCTGATGACGATACGTCTATTACAGAACATTTGAAATCAGTGTTTCATCTTCAATTGCCGCCCAGTTATCAAGTTTTGTAAAGCTGTTAAAATCAGCTGCCTCGGATGTGCCTTGATCAGATATAAGGAAGACTTACTTCTAGCCGTAGAAAAAAAAGGGAGGGGACAGAATTTAGATTCACTGGTATGCTTTCACAGTTCGTAGAAATTTTGAGATAGGTACGATTGACTTAAGGGTTAATTGTAAACTTGAACAGACTGTTAAGATTAACTTTCATAGTGAACTGAACCTGATAATTTTATTAACAGAGTCCATCAGTCATTTTAAGGGGATTGAATTTCGAAGATTTTAGAGTATTATCTTTCAATTTCTTTTCCATAAATTAATTTCGACAACACTGTAATACATGATTTTAACCCAGGAGTAACAGTATGATGTTTAGTGTGATCGTTCAGGCGGATATAGTTCTGAAAAGAACTGTTGTTCAGAGGTCACTGACGTTTCAAAAACCTGGTAATCATGGGCAAATGTTATCCTCAGATTCAAGAGCCTAGACAAGCACACTGCGCAAACTAATATATCATTTCTGTATCTTTCTTTCGTATTTCACAAAGACAATTGGTATACAAAAAACAAGGCTGTTTGAGTATTGCTAATTGGTCGCTAAATAATAACTAACACCTGCTTTATTGGCCAACATCATCGCCTATCTCTTTGTTTCCAAGATTCAAACATGTATATCCAGTTTCTGACAACGATGAGACGATTTTCTCGAGGAGTTTCAGTCTGATTTGCTTTCTTCCCCTAAATTATTGGCAATGAAAGGCATCATCTGGTTGTTTATAATTATGTTGTTCTTGCAGTTATTCGGGGGCGTTCGTCCTGAAGATGTAAGTTTCTATTTTTCCGTTTATGAAAATCGTGCACTGTACACAAGAAGCACCGTTGTTCAGAATACATTTGCAAAAGACCTAATGTTATGCGCTCGAGCTTGTGGCGCTGAATCAAACTGTAACGCGGTAAACTACAATTCTGAAAATAACGAGTGTGAGCTTTTCAAAGAACATTTGGAAGATGTTTTGCATGGAGCGGCCGTGATAACCGCAAGAGGATATTATTTGCTTACAAAGGTAACAATTCATTTACGTTTTTTAAGTTTAACTATTATATATAATTATCTTCGGATGTCCATTCTAGACCCCGCCGACCCAAGCTTCCACTGTAATGTATTAGTTTTAGAACCTTCTCACTAGCCCCCCAAAACTTCATCTCCTAAGGTACTCAGTCTATGATTTGAATTTCCTCCAAATATTTCCCAAGAATCCACTAGCCGACTGCAAAATCAACTAGCCCCGACCTATTAAAAGACATGAATTTCTCTGACGCTGAAGCTTTTAAAAGACACCAGTGCTTTTAAAGGGGCTCAGTCACGGTATTTTGAGTTATTTTGGCCACATACAAAATTACCTTTAAATGGTTGGAAACCTGAAAATAACAGTTTAATAAGATAGAAGAACACCAAAGACATAATGATAAACCATAAAGGATCAAGGATGGCTAAGTTCTGTTAGAAGAAGAGAAAAAGAATACTGACACACTTTAATGGTGTCGTTTGCTTGGTTCTGTCAAAACAGAGCCAGTTCTATCAAACTAACTATTGAAATGAAGGCAAAAATAAAAACCTAAGCCATTTCACATTTGATCAGCTGCAATTTAATTGCCGTGAACTACTGAATTGACATTTTCCCAGAGTTAATTCTGACAGCTTTCTCAGTTATGTTTGCTTTAACGCAAAAAAGATAATTAACACAAAATGGAAGTTAGTCATATTCCTGATTCTGCCCAAATGAATATAGAAACTATTCATTTCCACTCCGATAGTTTTTTTCCCTAAATTTTGTAAGTTAATCTTATTGCTATAATTAATGGATTTTGGGCTCGAGTCCCGCAGAACAAATACTGGCCGGACTGAAGAACAGTTTCTCATAAGTAGTTTTTAAAGAAAGGTAAATAACATTTTCAGGTAGAAATGGCCCGCCACGTATTGCAAGAGATAAACTCTCCTACAGGTCAGTATCATAGTATCATTACAGAAAAAAAAAACTCAAGTTTGAAGTTAACAGTTTGATTTGAATTTACGTACTGTGTAAGACGAGATATCAGTTAATTTTCATTACATTTGAAACTTTTTGGGGCGTTGACGTGAAAATCTTCAGGTAAACACTTGAAAATGCTAAACTGTGAAGCCTTCCCAAAAATATTGACTTGTTATCCATTGGTCTCTTATCTCTAACTAAAACAACCAGTTTCAAACTTTCTGATGGCCTTTTTTTTTTTGGTTTTCTCAAAAGGATATTAAAGACATGTAAAACATTTTCTCCGTCTTTTTATCGTAATTCAGTATTAATCTACTAGCGTGCTACCCTACCTACTATCTATTCTGTTGCAGATAGTGAGTAGCGTAGCTAAGAGCGTTTGTTAACAAAATGACGGCTGCTTCTTTGCGTTTTCGAAGTGTCTGTAAAGAGGATTCAGATAAAGTTTTGAACGACCAGTTGATTTATACTAGAACAATTAGATTATTCGTTCTCGATTTCTATGCGCGACAGTCGACTTGGGCTGCTCCCTCGTCAACTATTGCGCAACAGAAATCTCGAGCTCATAATCTAATTGTTAAAAAGGAACACTCGATCGTGATTCGTGAAAGCTTGGGAGAAACTCTTCAAAGCTCTGGAACCATTCACTTGTAGTTCGTGGTCCGCCTCGATTCTCGTTTTCCCAAGGTTCCTCTCGTGTATATAATTACATAAAACTTCATAAAAACACGCAAAATGTTTTCTAGATCTTAAATGTTAGTATCCTCTTATAATCTTGTTGCTTAAACGGGGAGCAGAACAGGATTGTCATATACATCTTTATTACGTTTGTTTAAAGTTCCTTTCTTAGCTCCAACTCCTGGAGTGGAATGGCTTCACTACACATCTCAGTGGTGTACAGTTGCAGGACGAGTCAAGCTTGGTAACGGAATAACTGCTGAGCAATGTAAAGAGATGTGTAAAGAGGGATGCCCTGGAGTCGAATGGTGGCAGGCGTTCCCTATGTCATGTTACAAATGTACAGATCCAGCCAGGAAGGAGCCATATGCAGACTCGAATGATCCTTTTTATCCACCTCATGTGTTTCTTAAAAGTAGCAGTTAAATGAATACCTCAGTTTAAGCGTGGCTTTCATTAGCAAGACCCAAGCTACACACGTACAGGGTTGATATGTCAAAAAGAAAAACTCTGACAGACTCTGAATTATGTCGTTGTGTGTTGGCAATTCTAATTTCTTAATCTTATAAATGCCCTACACATCACAATTCAGGGAGTAATCCCCTAATTCAGAGCTATTCTAACTCTCCAGCCATAGTTTAAATGATCCCTACCAGGTAACTCCAAAAGCGAGTTATATTACATTAACTCCCTGTAGAAAGTTGAAATAACCCCTTCTTGAAATTTAACTTCCAGTAAGAGTTATTTTAACTCTTATTTAGAGTTAAAATAACTCCACAAAAAATAAGCAGAGTTAGATTGACTCCACGACTAGTAAATAACTCCAATGTTGAGTTAAACTAACTCTCTTTTGGAGTTATTCTAGCTCCTCCAAATAACTCTACCTTAGGGAAAAAATACTCTTCTATTTAAAATGGTCAAATGCGTTTAGCTAAATAGCCACTTTAAAGACATACCACGAAATAGCAACAAAAATCTATATAAAGTATATTTACAATTAAAACTAAAAATGGTCACGTAATAACATAAGTAAAAAGTGAGATTTAAAAAATCCAACTTTGAGATCAAGTTCTTAAATGTTGCGATTTTATCGGAGCTTTTTTTTACCGCAATGATGCCACGACTCTGAACAATAATTAAAATGTGGCGCAATGAAGGCACGGTATATAGCTATTCTCATTTCAAAAGGCAACATTTTCTTCAAACGACTGAGAACAGCCACCTGTTGACTAACTTTGCTACAGATTTTACGAATCTGGCTCTCAAACATAAACTTACTGTCGAGAGTGACACCAAGGAGTTCTAATTCGTCTTGAACAGGGATAACAATGCCTGCACAAGTCAACCAGGATTTCTCTCTGTCCTTCCAAATGTAATTGCTTGATATTTTAACTGATTTCTTTTCCGCATTTGATTGATATAGGGAGTAACTTTAACTCTACTTTAGGAGTTAATTCCACTCCTTGAAAATTAGTGTGTATGTCGGAGCATTTTGTGTGTGAGCGAAGGTGATTATATTTCAAAATAATTCTGGTAATGTTAGGACTAAAAATGAAGCAAACTTGCCGTGATAGTCAATTTCTTTCAGATTTCATCGCTTGAACGTTTGTGTTATATCGAAGTCCTTGACGTATATTTTTGTTTTGCCGCAACAAAAAACTCGTGGAAATCAATAACTTAGCTTAGAAGGCCGAATTATCGCTTTACCAGTTAATTCATTAAGTTACAAGCCTACAACTGAGTTCATAACGTTCTATTCTCCTGTAGTTTCCCATTTAGGTTTTCTTTTAGCAGGAGTGACATACTCTTGGTTTGGATCAGGTCCCAGACCTCTCAACGTAATACTGCTATTGCGTTTACAACTGACGGAAAGCCATTACACGAGAATTACACGAGATCGTATCTCAATTACTTTCATCTCCACTTGTGAAACTAAATATAAGAAAAAGGATTTTGACCAAAAGCAACGTGATAAAAAGTGCACAACAAAAACAGGAAGATCCTCTTGTTCATGCGATTGAAACAAGGTTGAAAAAGTCAGGAACGTAAACTATTAAATTGTAGTTTGGGCAAAATTGCAAGCAGACCTAAGGAAGGGGGAGGGGGGNTTGATACTTTGTTACGGTATAAAGAACTCGGAATATGACAAACATTCAGCCCTAAGTGTGCATTGAACAAAAATGTCATTTCTCTGGTAAAGACAAAAAGAGACCTCATAAACTTTTATATTTTTGGCAGTTTCTTTGACTTCGGCTTTGTCTGTTTTTGTTGTCTTAAGCTGGGCGTGAAAGTTCGCATTCTCCAACGAAACAACCGATTTGACCGCTTTGACCAGATCTAAAATTTCCAGAAAAAGGGTTAAAAGGGAAAAGAAAAGAAAAGAAATGTGGGACCAACAAGATGGATGCTGATGGTAGATTTGGACTCAAGATCCTCTGACTGACTCAAATCCTGGCTGGAGATCTACTACGAAGAATTAAAGAACATGTGTACCCTGTATTTAATAATATGGGATATATTTATACTTATATTTAGTCCAGTCTCATTAAAACAAGATTATAACAGTCACCTTATCTAAAACATAATACCTATATTAAATAAACTAAAAATGTTATAGTATTCATATTTATAATAAGAAAAATAAAGATGTTGTTAAGCTCGGGGCCTATTCATTTTTTTTTTTATTTTTTATTTTTTTATTGTGTTGTTTACGTAATTAGTAAGTCGAGAGGTCAAATCATCAACGTGTACTTCTGGTGATGTTGCTGCGGTCTGTTATAAGGTTCCGCGGGGTGTGCACTTACACAGGTTAGTCTTTCTCACTACTTTTACGTGCAGCTTATTCCATGGAGTACTCCCTTGTATGTGCTATATAGGTATGTGCGGCCCCAAAGGGTAAGGTTTTTCAACCATTTTGGTCATAAATAGGGTATCGATTTTGGCCATTTTGGTCTTAAATAGGATATGGTTTAGCACTCTAGTCTTGAATTGGGTGTGTTTCTTAGAAGAAGTTACTTTTTCATCATTATCAGTACGACCGTCAACAAAAGCCCTTCCTGAACTTATGTTTAGGGCAACTGCCAGCTACAAAGGTCATGAATAGGCTATCAAATTTTTTGCCAGGTCGTAAATAGCGTAGCAAAAATCGCAGATTTTGGTCATAAATATGGTAAGGACGGTAAGGAAAAGATCCGGAAATTTCGGTTGAAAGTCAAATGGAACAGTAATTTTCCAGAACATCAGTTCGGAGATTTAAGACTACCTACAGAGGTAGTCCTCTTTTTCCTTTCAGAAGGGAAATTTCCTTACTATTTGCGGTTGGTTTGCTGACCCTTACCATTACCCGACCAGGTCATTCTGACAAACGGCAAGCACCCCGAGCCTACATGAAAATTTTGTTCGTTTGGTATGCAGGTTTTTTCCTTCTCAAATAAGTCACGTGAAAAGTCATGTGATTATCAAGCCTGCGCCCAGTCTCCTTTCCGCGATTGGAATCTAGAACGCCTGGGGAACAAATAACTTTCGTAATCTCATTGAACTCTTATGGCACGGTCGAGTCGTCACTGTCGTCGCTCAAAAAACATGCAAGAAAGTGTGCGGGAAACTTGAGTTCAGTATGGCATATGGCATTGACGCGTTTTCCCTTCTCAACCGGAAATTCAAAATCTTCATATTATTCATTTTTGGAACTATTTTGGTTGGTAAGTGAAGCGATTCAACGGATCGTGTCAAATACGGTAAACGTTTGTACTCGATATTGAAAGTCACACGTGTAATTTTGCAAGTAAGGTTAATGATCACCCGTTTTTTTTTTATGGATTTCTAGTAAGCTGGGCAACAGTCAATCGTAACAGAACAGTCGTGCAGAATGCAGGGAGGTATGCATACTAACAAAGCTCAACAGTGACCATCCTGCGTGCGATTAAAATACATTGAACATGTTCCATTTGCTGGCTTAAAAATAAGCTTATAAATGTGTCTAACCGTAATTGTTTGTGTTTACTTATTTTGTCTTTATGGGTAATCGTTTTGGACAAAGTTCTATAAGCTTTGATTACTCTATTTTAAAAAAAATTCTCTAGAATGTAATTCAATTATAATTGCATTTTGGCTATTTGGTTACCTTATTTTTCGCCAAGAACGTTAATTTTGATCTAATTGTTGCCTCAGCTCGAATCATTTGAGATTGTGATCTCGGGGTGAATCATCGGATATAGAAGAGAGGAGATAAGACCGGGACAAATTATTGAGGAACACATAACAAATCTCCAACTCTCTATTGTCGACAAAGTTTGTTCCTTGCTTTGTAAAAGCCGGTTAGAATATACCCTGCAAGATTGAGATTCCCATCTCTTTCCTCTTGGTGAGAGGCAAGAGGGAACCTCTGCTCACAATGTTAAATTTTAAAAAAATAAAAACCTCTGCTCATAATTGCTTGATTGTCTGATTAGCCGCTGTTCACAACCAGGGACAGATAAATTTAAAATACTGGCTTTTGACAAGGTTTAACGGGTTTACAGGGATCATATTTGCAGTCGTCTGGTTGTCCATGAGGACTAAAAAATCCTAGGGACACTTAATGGCTCTTAATCATTCATTGGGCTTATGTAGAGAGTGCTCGTAATTTGGGGGTTAAATGCGCTGTTGCTTTACTGGCGGCTGTGAGATATAAGTCTAATGTATCCATACAATTCATACAGTAGAATGATGATTACCAAGTTATTTAAGTAAGTTATTTAAATGCAGGCTCCAGATAGATGTTATTGGCTACAGGCATAGGATTAACACACTTATTAGTTGTGCTCGGTGGAAAGTTTGGAGGACGTGAAAGAAGTGTTGCTTGAGTTAGGCAAGACCAACTCAGTAGCTTCTTGAATGTTTTCCAAATTTCCTGACTGCAAACACGGTTAAAAGCCAATCAACAATTTGATTGATTGATTTCCAGAACATTGCCAGATTATGTAAGTAAATTTCTCTCAAGGGAAGCTAGAAGTAGGTGGTGGAGGGGGAGAGGAGGGGTGATTAATCATCAATTCAGGTCCCTTTCTGTTTTTTTCTTCCTTTCTTGTCCATTGGCACAGGCACACTACACCTACTTTACATAAATATTCACCAGGGAGTTATACTGTCATATGGCTTTGATAGTATGAAATTGATTGAAATTCAGATTGAAATTCTTCTAAAGTTGAGTCTGAATCAAAGCACCTTGTTTCCCCAACTCTTGCCTGTGGTCCACAAACCAAACTTCTCCTTGAGTTTTCACATGTACATGTGTAACTTATCAGAAACACAGAAAATGTTTCTATTTGTTTAAGAAAATAATAATCTTTACCCAAGTCTGTTTTAGGTGCAGGTGTTCAATTACTTGGGTAGCAATGTAAAAAATGGCACACAAAGAAAAGTGGAAAAGCACCTCTTCTTTTTTCACTCTGCTATTTTTTGGCAAAGTGCCCCAACTAACTGAACACCTGGGAGGGGCTATTTTGAGCTGAACGGATTGCTCAAAAAACAACTTGTATACTGATCTATGTTGCTCTGACAGGATATCTCAAAGAATGCTAGATGATTTGAGAAGAGATTTAGAAACTTTAAATATAGTGGTAAGAAAAGAATAAATTAAGATGAAGTTAGAAAAATATTTTTTTATATGTAAGCGAGCAATGATTTCACACATGTTACTCAAATGGCTGTGTTATAATTTAAGTAAGTTAGAATGCTACAGTTTCTACTGAAATGTAAATTGCACAATTGCATTAATTAAATAGTCAATAAATCCTGTCTTTATTTTATCTTCTTTCATTTTTCTTGAGGATCTAAGCAAACTGTACTGTACAAAACTGTTTTGTAGATTGCTGTACGTGTATGCTGTACCACTTAAAATAACAAGGAATTAGTGTATTTTATTTGATCATTCACCCAGCTTTCTTAGAAGTTATTTCGTATTGCAAAAATAATAATGCAAGTCATTCATACTTAACTGTTATATTAAATATATACAGTGGAACCCCTATTAAGCGGTCACCTATTAAATGGCCACCTCTATTAAGCGGCCAGTAATCAAAGTCCCCATGAGGACCGTTTCTGGGGTTTTTACCTCCATTAAGCAACCAACCCTTTTAAGCGGCCACTATCCCTTTCCCTGAGGGTGGCCATTTAATAGGGGTTAAACTGTGATTTTAAAAGAATGGCACAGCGTACATTTTGGGAGATGTGGGGGTCCAATATTTATTACACTGGACTCCAGATCGATTGGTCTGGGTTTGCCCTGGCTAGGGCCATTGTTCCATCTCTTATTTTCACTGAGAAATAACAAGTCAAATCACATTTAAGGTCGCTCCTTTAGAGGGTTACTTCTCTAGGGGGTTTATTGCAGTAATTAAGGTCTAATTAATGAAAAGAGTATTCTTTGCTTTAAGTGTTGGTGAAACTGATTGAGTTGTTACTCTCCTTATTTCAGACATTAAATGAGAAACTGAAACCATTGGACCTCAGAATTACAAATTTAGAGAGCAAGTATGTTAGAAATAAATTACCCTTTTTTAAATTAATAAAATACATTTTATTTAACAATGCATTAGACATATGTTTAAGTAAAGAACAGGGTTTTGTATGTTGATTAATTTATGAAAATTGATACATACATTGTGTTAACAATGCATGACTATCGAGGGGGTGGTTGAGCTTTCTATCAAAATTAAATTTTCATCTTTCCAAATTAAAATGTTTGTTGAGTTTCAATCTATTTTGCTTATTTGTGTTGCATTATGATTTTATTACATATGCAAGCCAATTACTTAACAATTTCTATTTTAACTATGAAAATGTAAAGGTGTATAGCCTTCATATATCAGAGTTAACCTTGAGTTTATAGTTACACTTCGTTAAATCATTTAATTTAAGAGTTTCCTGGATAAAGACTGTTGTGAGTTTCTGGTCTCTTGTACGGGTCACCAATTCTCCTGGATACAAAGGAAAGCATTCAAAACTTACATTTTTCACACTTGTTTTAGTTTGGTGTATTTGTGAAAGTTACTTTTTTAATTTGATGCATTACTGTGGCTGAATCAGCAGAGCCCTACTTTGAACAAGATTTTTTTGAATTGACAATCCCCCAGATTTAGGTTGGCATCTCTGAAACTTGGCAATATGTACGTACATGTATGTCTTATTGATGAATGGTGCCCAGATTATCACAATATACATGTATTATAGTAAAATGTATTAATTCATATTTATTTTATTCACTAACAGGGAACGAAAATATCCTCCAGTTAAATATTTAGCCGAAAAAGATCGCAAGAGAATTTTAGTAAGTCTGCTGTTTGCTTTTGCTTTTTATTTAAAGTGGATCTGACTTTTTCATTTTGTTCGGGGTCAATTTACTGTTAGGATTTCATTAATGTTTTCAGCAGTAGGGCAACTGGTTTTCACAGGCAGTGAAACGTTTTGAACTAAACTTCTTTAAATATAAATAACTTTCCTATAGATGGTCAAACTAGGTGGGCAAAATCATCCTTACAGCTGGTCAATTTGCCCAGTGTGGCTTGGCTCTTAATGAAATCCTGATACTGTGGAACATCTTGGGCAATTGTATAAAACAATATTATTGGATAAAATAATATTATTATTTTTAATTAGATTGATATTTTTAGGCTTTGTTTCCAACTGGTTGAAAGCAGTAATAACAACAGCAAGTATTTATAACAGAGAGAAAAAAAAGAATACCATTGATTTTTAAACTTGAGAATATGGTATAAGTTGCCTACATAATAAGAATTTGATCACCTCCTTTTGTTCTTTCTTTTACTTATATACATTTATTTCATATCTTTCAGACTATTATAGACATCTATAGTTGATGTCAATGATCACATATTTTTGTTTGTTTTTTTCTGTCAGGTGACTGGTGGGGCAGGATTTGTAGGATCTCACTTGGTTGATGCTTTATTAATGGCAGGCCATGAGGTGCAGATAACTATCAACTAAATATTTGATCTAAACTGTTATAGCTCTTAAATTAGTCACACAAGTTGTACTGTATAATAATGGGAGGTCTTAATTAGTTCATTGTTATTTAACCAATAAGTTAATCAATGAAGTAATTAGCCATGTGTGATGTACATGTGTACACAGTCCAAAAATTAAAGAAACAAATACTTAAATTATCTTTTTATGTCATGACAGGTCACAGTTGTAGATAATTTTTTCACCGGACGAAAAAGAAATATTGAACATTGGTAAGAGTTTTGTTAAGCCTGGTTCTCATATGCCACTGACATACCTGGGACATCATCCCACTGCCTGGGATACCGTTACGGCGTATGTGAACATTTATATCGCCGAATCATAATCTATCCCAGGCAATGACCGCAGGCAAGCTGGCGGCTGTCGGCGGTCGTCAGCGATGAAAATATTTTATGTGAACATCATCTGCGGTCGCAACATACTCCAGTAAGACGATTCGATCCATATTTACGGGTAAAGTTGTTGCAACTTGAGCAATTCGATTTGCATTTCATGCAAATTTGAGTACGTCGGCGATCCATCGCAGATGCCCCGGGAACCCACTGGGACAGATCGCTGAACGTTGTCAATTGCATCCGGCGACTACGTCGCAGGTACGTCGGCGGGATATGAGAACCAGGCTTAACATAATTATAATTTACAAACTAAGGTAGTATACTAGGTAAAAAGGTAAAGTCTGCATACGAGCCAAGTGGCCCATCAGGC